CCAGGTAATAAGGGTACAAGACCATCCCAACCACCAATACTAGACAAATATGAATGATAAGGAGGTAGGGTGGGGGAGAGAACTGTGAGGGTTGTCTGTGGCACAGGACAAAGAAACTAACACAGCCAATACCTGTGGGTTTACCATATTAGACTGTAAGTTCTTGGAATAATAAATTGGTTAAGGGTCTATGCAGCTTCTTGCAGAATGAGACCCTTTGATACTAGCCGTATGTGAATGTTGAGGGTTGAGTCCCTATTTTCTTATGACAAATCTCATGTGGTGGGTTGTCAGAGAGGATGAAAACCATTCTTGGAGGTACAGATGTAAGTTGCCAGTTAAATCAAAAAGCCCCTGTCAGTATATGGGCTGGGTCCTGCTGCCATTTCTCACCAGTTTATGAAAAGGAGTGAGTGGTGAGGAAGCTGCTGCTCCAGTAATGGATCTTTCCCTTTCAATTTAGGCCAGACTATAAGCAATGACATACCAGTAAATAACAATAATAAAAATACATACTTGCCAGAATTATTTTTTTTGGTGGGAGTGGGGGTGGTTTGCTTTGAAAGGATGTGGGCCCACTCTTTGGTGGTTGACTGAAATCTCATAACTGTTGTACTGTTGTGGCATATGAGGCATGAAATTTATTGTCAGAAGTATGGTGTCCAGGAACACTATGGCACTGAATATTTTATCCTGCTGCAGTGCTACCTGCCCAAGAATGGTTTTTATTCTAACTCTTAAGTAATTTCTTGGAGCTGGGATACTAAATGTCATATCTCCCTGTTCCATGAACAGTTGTCTCTGATGGCTTTGCTGCTAAAACAATTTTCTAAGCTTGTGTCTGAAATTGCATCTTTGTTTTTGCCATTTTTTTTTTCTTGGTGGTGTGAGAGGCTTTTGGAGGTATTGGGGGTAACATACAAGGCCCCTTCATCTGCCCACTATAGAGGACATGGGGTTTTCAAATGTTATGTCAATGGTTTAAAATATTTGGCATCAACCTTTTTGGCAGATGTTGCAAATTAGGTCTGCACACTCCCCAAATGCTGCTCCAATCCCCTTCTGCTACCTGATCTACTGCTCTGCTTTCTGCTTCCTCCCCTCTGCTCCCTGCTTTATCTGCTGCTCTGTTTTCTGATCCTGCTGTATTTCCTGCTGTGCTGCCTGTCTCTTCCCCAGTTTGCCATGTGCCATATGCAAAGACTGCTTGTGCCACTTGCAGCACATGCCTCAGGTTGACCACCCTTAGTTTTTAAAATACAGCCTTATACAAGGTATGTTGCTCGGAACATGTCCTACAGCTTCCTTCTTGGCACACCATTAGTGGCTCTCCTTCCTCCCCACTCCCAAGGTCCCAGCAGCATTCTCATCACTTTGCAGGACAAACAGTGTAATATTAATATTTGTGCTACCACTTCCCTAAAATTCTGCCTCTTTCCATGTTTTAGCACAATTTTTAAATTTTACTGACCCTAGTCAGCAGTGACTAAAATTTCATGTTTCCCATTCTAGGCTGCTGTTTCCTATATTCAAACCACTGTAGAGGGTTGCATCTACATGTGTGCCTTACTTAAGTAAAGTGTCACTGTCTACATGTGCGCCCATATCAGGGATCAGTAAATTAACTCCACCATAAGACAGTACTGTTCAGGATGAATACTATCCTATGGTGGAGTAACTTACACTGCCACAATGTAGGTGTAGACAGTAACTGGGGCTGGCTGGGGCACAAGGGTACTACAGTGTGAGGGCTGCCTGCTGCCCATACTCTACCACCCTTGTACCCTAGCCAAGCCCCGCTGCTACAACCCAGAGCCCAGGGTTGACTTTGTGGGCTGCTCTACACTGGCTCAAATTTCTGTGGTCCCAGGTGCAGTTGTCAATGCTGTGCCCTGGAGAAATAAACTCCAAAACAAACTGTGCTGGTGTTTGTTTATTTGCCCTAATTGCACGTGTAGATGCACCCAGTATTTCTTGCACTCAGACTTAAGTTCAAGAGACTAAACATTACAATAACAGGTAGGAGTTCATTGGCAGAGCTGTTGTGTAGGAAGGAGCCAGCAATGGGATAGTAACAGGTACTACCAGTCAGGACTAAGTGCCCAGGCAGGTCTGCATTTGACCTAATGGCACACTGCAAGCAGTCTCTATGCACTGTGCCTGAATCCTCCTGCCATTCCTCTCATAGGACTCTTTGCAGCTCTGGCAATAATCTTCAAAGTCAGAAAGCATTACCACTTTACTGTTTGTAGCTCTCTCTTCTGAGCAGCTTCAAACCATAAAATGTTTGATTTCTTGTGATCCTGATGGCTATCTGGGCTAA